CTTCTGGATCGTGAGATATCTTTGAGTTAGTAAATAAAGATTTTTCGAACGTTATTGTAATTTTATAAAAATTGATTGGCCGGTTATCATATGTACGGATATGACCAATCATTTAATTTCATGTAATCGATTATCATTGAACTTTTATTGGACAGATCGGTCCTGAGTCACGATTTTCAGATCTAGAAGCTTGTGTAACATAGGTTGTCCACCATGCTATATTTTTATAGATGAGAACTATGATTTTTTAATCAAAAAACTGAAACTCTCTACAGAAATTCAGATCGCCTGCTAGTCAAATGTACCCTCATTCTAGAAAATGAAGCAAAAAAGGCATCCAGTTGGAGGTTCGATAAAGACTCTTTTAGAAACAAATTATTGAAAAAAGAAGTCATCAAGGAAATTAAATCTGTCAACTCAGCATCAGACTGGGACTGGCACAAAGTTTGCATTCAATCAATTATAAGAGCCTTCAAAAAACCCAAAGCTCCTGAAAGCAAGATAATAACTCTGAATAAAAAAATAACCAAACTTAAAAACTCTTTAGCAGCAAACTCCGAACAAACAACTATGCAATCAAAAATAAATGATCTTAATATACAGATGCAAAAGGAGCTTTCCCAACTAGCAGAGAGATGGCTGACTTGCTCAAAAGCCAACTGGGTTGAACAAGGAGAAAAATCTACCAGATACTTCTTTTCACGATTCAAAACCCGGAGCAGTAACTTTGCTCTAAAAGAAATTAAGATCCCAGGAGCTAATATACAAAATAAAAAAGATCAAACACTACAATACATAAAAGAAAAATATACTGAAATCTACAAAGATGAGGGCATAGACTCAGAAGCAGCTACTTCGATCATGGTTACACTTTCTACAATCTCGCATCAAGAAAACTCTAAATTTACACAAGCTATTTCAAAAGAGGAAATAACAACTATGATTAGAAATCTTCCAAATAATAAATCCCCAGGCATCAATGGGTTAACATATGAATTTTACAAATTAACAGAGGAACATATAACTCCAATTTTAGAAATCATCTTTAATCAGGTCTTGAACTCTGAAAACTTACCAAATTCCTGGTACAAAAATCTAATTACTCTCATCCCGAAGAAATCCTCAGACTTAAGCAACATAAACAATTGGAGACCTATTTCTCTAGTAAACTGTGATACCAAAATTTTCATGAAGATCATTGCATCTAGATTAAATAGAGTCTGCAATACATTAATTCCATCACATCAACAAGGTTTCATCACAAAAAGATCAATCTCAGATGCCGCACTTGATGTTCTTACAACTATGAGAAACCAATCAGACATCTCAAAGCAACACTGGCTACTCCTAGTAGACCAACAAAAAGTCTTTGACCAAGTTAATCACAAATTCTTGCAAATGATTTTTTCAAAGATGGGCTTCAGCATAAAATTCAAAAATCTAATAGAAAACCTCTTCGCAAACCAGATAGTGCATATTTTTGAGAAGGGCTTTCTCTCAGAACTATTCAGAGTTGAAAGAGGAGTCCGACAAGAAGACCCCCTCTCTCCTTTATTATATGTTCTGGCTTTTGAACCACTAATTCAATCAATAAATAATAGGATTCGGAAAATTCCAGTAAACAACCTCTTCTTTAAAACAGTAGCCTATGCTGATGACCTAACTATAGGAATCGGCTTTCTTTCAGACTGGATAGAAGTGCAGAATTTATTTGACATATATGAAAGAGCCTCAAATGCAAAAGTCAATAAACACAAAACCAAAGTGGTTTCTTTAACCACACTGGCTAGAAGAGCGAATCTACCAAACATTGACCAATTCAAAATTACAGAAGAAGATAACTTTATAACTCTTTTAGGCTATGAGGTTTATTTAAATGGCCTATGTAGAAAGAATTTATAGACAAACATGATTAACAAACTTAAAGACACACTGAACAATCTTGCTCTTAGAAATCTATCTTTTAAAGGGAAAATTCTGGTCGCAAACTCTCTAGTTCTCTCTCGAATTTGGTACATGGCCTATATTTTACCTCCTAATTACACTTTGGATAAAAGGCAATTCAAGAATGCTTCCTAAATACTCCACTTACCAACAGTCTTATGAACAAGGAGGGCTCCAAGCCCCCATTATAGGCAATCTCCTAGATGCAAGAGCTTTGATGGTTTGGCTCAAACTTCTTTCTGGAAATACATTCTGGGCAAAGGTCGAACAGACAAGAATTGCAGACATACTATATAGACAATAAAACATCTCAATCAGACAAGCTCTAACCAGCGCTCCAATACGCAGTAAAGCCTGGCCCTCAGAATAGAAACCCCACCTTCTTCCTTGGTAGAAAGCAAATAGAAGAATTTTCTTTCATACAAATTGGCCTTAAAGTCTCGAAAACCTCTCTCTAGGGGGAATTAAAGAGGACAAAGTTACAGTTAAAAAGATAACTGAACTACTCAGAGGGGACCTAACATTTGGTGAAATTAATCAATCACTATTTTCAAACTCAGCACCAAACTGGATACTTCTTAAAGGAGTTGACAACAAGAAAAGGGTCATCTTTTGGCGTCTCGCACATAGAGCTTTACCACTAGGTTACAGACTTCAACATATTTCTGCCCAGGAATCAGGCTCCTGCCCATGGTGTGAAGATAACCGACAAACAATTGAACATTTTGCAACGGATTGCAGAGTCAGCAAGAAGATATGGACAGAAGCTTACAAACTGTTCAATATAAGACGAAAACCAAGTATCCTATCCTCTTTGGAGAAAATCTTTACTGCAAAAACCTTCAGTGAGCGGAACCACCTTAACACAGCAATATGGATTCACATAATCACAATATATAAAATTTGGGATTGGTACACAAATGCCAAATGGGTCAATACAGATAATATAGAAGCTTCAATTCCCTCAATTATCAGTGCTCGAATTCGAAAAGAAATTTGAGCTCTAAGTTTAAACTCCCGTTTGGGTTCTGTAAATAGGAAAATTTGTAAATATCTTAGTAATGTTAATTAATATTTAATATATAAGAATTTAATAAAGAGCGCCACATGCGCTCCACATGCCATTTAGGCAATCTGGGATAGTCAAAAAAAAAAAGAGATGAATATTTTGGAAAGTGTGCAAATAGCAAATGATATAACACATTAAAAGCTTATTGAGCTTCCGTAGGATTCTTTCTATCAATCCATGCAGAAATTATTCCAGCAAATCTATTACTAATAACCTTCAGATTAACCATAATCCTAGAGCGAGATAAGTATTTTCCAATAAAGAATCATGTGTTTTGAAATTGTCTGGTAGTATAATATTACTTATTTTTATGGCTCTGGTCATTTTCTAATTAATTGTTTCGATCTCTTTTTTTTTTTATGCACAAGAATAGACAAGTGGAAATAAAGATATCGATAATTGCATTAAAGAATTACAACTTAAAGCTACAGAATATGAAGATGTGATTGAGTGGATTCCTTTTAATAATATTAAAATTTCTCATATGTACATATATGTACATACTTGGAATCATCATGCATTGGTAATGTTCAATTGACAATATTTTTTTTTTTTTTTTCAAGAAATCAATGATAAAATTTCTTTAATTAGTGTAGGTCTTAATCACTTTAGGTAATCAAATAGATTAGGTAATGTTTAAAAGATGTGATAGACTCAGCAAACTGGTTAAATAGAATACGATATGTATATGAAAATGGATATATGCTATTTAAATAGAATGACAGTATTCATTATGGTTTGGTTAAGCATTAAAAGATTATTATATTTATTGCGCTTATATTAATTATTAATTATTTGTTTTAAAAGTTTCGAACATTAAAAATAAATTGGTTATCTTACTATCTAAAGTAGGACTCAGCACTAGTTAATTGAGCGGTTATTTTCTTGCCAGTTTCTAGTAAACGGTAAGTAATAATTTTGTCCTCCTCATGGTTGACTGTGACATACTTGGGCAAATTTTTCATTTAATAAAATTAAGTTGCTATCTTCCGAGGAATCTTTGGCCCCATAATTTTTTAATTTTTCAATGTATGCACTTCTTATTAGTTTTATTAAAGACAATATTATTTATTTATTAATTGATTGGTGGTGTATCAGTATATATTTTGTCTCTATAAATGTAATTTTCTTTAATTATCCTTATTATTCGTGGTGATTTAGTCTTATCTGAACTCAAGCCTACTTGTACTATATATTATAATGCTTATAATCTAAACTTAACAAATCACAAAAAATTAGGCTATATATGTTCGCTACAATAATTTTATATTAAATTAGAACTGATAGTCTTTTGGTCCATACTAGGCTGGCCCGGTCCTAAGACAGAGTGCAAGACTACGTTTTAGTCAGACTGATTAACAGCTCAGACTACTTAATATCTAGATACTTTTCTGTTCTTAGCTTTACATGATGATGCTACGCAGCTACTTTATTAATTACCATTTTGGTGAACATATACAATTGAGTTAGTTGCGAATAGTTGTGTAGTTGATTAACATAGGCTTAACAACTAGTTGACAACTAACAATTAACTGTAGTTGAACTAGTTGATTATTAACTGGTTAGTTGATTAAAAAATTTTCTAAGCAATTAACCAGTTTTCAAACTCTATTGCATCTTTTTTCTTGGTTCTATAATGTTGAGACTATAATATCAAACTTTATAAAAAGTTGGCATTAAGCAAACTTTATATTAAACATTTCATTTATAAACCCTTTTTGCAAATACAACATAGCTATTTATATAATTAATGTAGAATTGTAGTGAAAAAGCAAAGTAACTACTAAATTTTAATAAGTTATTTCCTGAATACTCTCTAAATGCACATTGTCGGGACTGGCTCTATCATATGTATTTAGAAAGATATTATATTTAGGAAGGTAAAAATCTATAGATGTAATATTATTTGAGCCCAAAAGAAATATGCATTTAGAGATTTACTGTAGTACAAATAACACTACAGAGTTTTTTTTATAAATTACTAAAACTTTAACTCATATTAACATGATTCATTTTCTCTTCATTTCACTCTGGTGCAAAAACAGGCATCTTACCTAGATTTCTTTTTAAAAATAATATTTAGCCAACTAAAATCGGATCTAAATTTACTCTTTTAAAGTTAATAAGGTTGCTTGCATCTGAAAATAATCCTTTGCTAGAGATCAACATTGCTAGTATTACAAGAAATTTTCAGACAATTTTGGTAAGTTTAGAAAAATTTTTTAAATACATTTTCTATCAGTGTAATGGATCTTCTGTTTTCAATATTAGTGGCAAAGATAAATAATTTGAAATTTTATCAATATCTTGTAAATTTTGTATTATTTCATCTTTTTTTTCTTTTTATTTGATGTTGTTGCAAATATACTTTATGTGAATATATTGAAGATTCTTCATTAGATAAAGTCGAATTAATTGAGATATCAGGTACTGGATCTTCTAGCTTACTTATTTCATCATGAAGTTTTGAATAGTATGTTGCTTTTCAGAATCATCACCTAAAAAATCTAAACTTTTATAACGAGGATCTAATAAAGTTACTATTAAACCAAGCTTATTTGGATCATTTCAATAATAGATTAAGATGTCATAGATATTTTGTTTAACTTCTAGTAGATTTTTAATTAAAATTCTTTGTTTAGTAATATTATTAATAATTTTATCATCATTTAAATCTATAAGTTGTATTTTTTCTGCCTCCAATTCAAATACTGTATTTTCATCTGAGAAAAGATTATTATCTGATAGCACTTTACTTGCTAAGTCATAAATCATTTCTTTAATAGTAGGAATAAGTTTACTCAATGTTACATAAATATTTCTAGAGAAATCTCACATTGTCTCTTCAAATAGCATTAGTAAGTCAATAAGTTTATCTAATAATTCCCACTTATTATTTGAAAGATGATTTTTTTTTAACTTACTACTATCTTTTTTTTTTTCAAAACGCATCTAAGCATACTTTATTTATTCAATTATTTAATAGCTAATATACATGAATTATATTTGGGGTTCTATAAATTCTTAAATGGTTTTGCCATTGCTAGGTTTTTTACCACCCTTAAGGCCCACCATTCTATGTAACAAATTAACTTCAAATTTTAGTTTTAGTTATGATTGCTGATTGAGAGATAGTATTGTTCCCCCATTTAGCCTGTATATACCAGCACTATATTTTATACACACAAATAATGTGTAGCCAAATTGCAGCTTCGTGTTTTTTGTCACCTTTGATATTGGTTGCCTGAAAAATATCAATTAGTGTATAAGGAGTTGTTTCATTATCTAATGTCTTGAGCGCTTTATAGGCCGATTCCCAAATGATTCTGCTAAGTAGACATTTTAGCACAAAATGCTCTATGGTCTGCATATAATGTGGGCAATTGGGACAATCACCCGAGTCAGCTGAGTTAATATGTAGTAATCAGTAACCGAGGGGTAATGCCTTGTGTATTAAATGCCAAAATGTATCCTTTTTCTTGTTTAAGTTCCATTTGGATTTGATCCATTTAAATTGGGGATGTTGTTGTGTTGCACTATTTTGGGAGCCAGCTAGTTCGTATAGGCATTCTAAAGTCCTTCGAACTGTGAAGTATTGGCCCTCAGTCCCTCCCAATTTAATATCCTTTAGTTCCCAAGGCCAAGCCCTGGTGGCTTCGATTTTGCCTTTAAATTTTCTCCAGGCAGTTAAGTATGGCTACCATCTTTCCAGCCAGCCTTTGTTTTTGCAGGTGTTTTGTATTAAGGCTTCCTTAACTATGGTTCCTCTTTTGTTTTTTATTTTTATTGAAATTCTTTCTCTTTCCGAGGTTGCCCAGAGAGAGTGACCGGATAGAAGTTTGAGCCAGAATGATAGGAGTCTAGCATCAAGGATATCTTTTAGAATCGGGGCACCCAGGCTGCCCTTTTCACAGCTCAGCTGGAAGGTTGAGAACTGAATGAGTACTTGTGAGCTATTCTTGATCCATCTTCTTATCAAAGTTTTGATCTCTTTAAGTTGCTTTCTTGATGGTGGAAGTAAGTAAGCAAGGTACCATAATTTGGACACCAGAAGTGTTTTAGCCACGAGAATTTTTCTTCTAAAAGATAAAATTCTTTTGGAGAGATTTTCAATTTTTTTTAATTTTTTTTGTTATCTCGCTCCAGAGATTTTTATTGGGATTACCTCTAATATCTATACTATATCCTAAAATAGTAAAGTATTCCTGATTGTTGGCTGGAGCTTTAAAGCTATGTTGTTCTGGAAGTTCAACCCTGCAAGTGTTGCTTGTAATTGGTATAAGGATTGACTTACTCTTGTTGATAACTGCGTTAGATGCTTTTTCATAGTCCTCAAGAGTTTTAAGGCGTATTGTCCAGTCTGT